GTGTGTTGTTAGTCTGGAAGCAAGCAACAATGATTTCGTTTTCCTTCCTTGAACTTTTTCAAGGCTTTTATCAGTCGCTATGTAAATAGTTAATAAAAAAATTCTAGTTTCATGTAGTATCACGGCGGTTACCTTCGGGTACTGCCGTGGAAAATGTTCCGAAGGGAAAGATTCTCTCCTCAAAGTATTTTTCTTCACTTGAATATTCCGCTGTTTCAGATGGTGCCGGACTTGGATATCTTCATGATTTGTCTACTAATGAGCACTTCCACTTCGTTTCTTTCATGATGTCCAAAAGTAGCTACATCACTGCAGCCATTGTAATGTTGATATTTGTAAGTAATTTATATTACGTCTTGCGATACGTTCTCGCTTTTCAGGAACAGTGCGACCGGTAACACTGTTTCGATCGATACCTTCTTTTTTCATTTGAAGGCACTTTGTACGATTTCCATGGTTGAGGTCCGCAACTGTAGAGGGGTATCACTTTCGCAACTCGAAAGTGTGGCGGCGACTTTGAATATTGGCACTATTTACCCTTTACTGCCCCAACCATCCAGAATTGAGCCAGTTTCTGACCGACTTTTTTCTCCGTGGACAGATTTGGCTCAAATGTTGTCCCGAAACCTGGCACCTGCGCCACAGGCGCCGGTGATCTGGGTATTTTGGCGCCAGCACCTGTAGCGCGGGCGGCAGGAGGTTTCAGGCCGAGCGGATGTGATATTCGTGTTCAGGAGGTCAGACTACCCCTGAGAACATTTTCAAGGTATTTTAGCGCCGGCGCCTGTGGCGAGGGTAAAAAGTGCCGAAGGATTCCTATAGGTGGATCGTATTTATGCGTCTGCGTCCCCCTCCCCCCCTCATTCGGTACGAAGCAAGCACACTCCAGACACACAACACACCACACGGCCCTCCACGCGTGCTACTTGCCTGCGCATTTTGATGTGTGGCAAGGAATCCTCTGCAGCTCGGCCGCGGAGTAGTGAATTGTCAGCCTGACTGGTGTCATACATAGCTTCGCAATATTTTGCAGTTCTCTACTTGATGGCTAAAAGCGACAACGGGAAGCATTGGAAGCCCAAAATGCCTCCCCCCACGTCGCCCGCGCCAGGATGATTTTATGTAGTGCTCTTAATTATTAGGTTGGCGGGAAAGTTCTGTCACTTTTTTCAAATTGGGCTTTCTTTTTATAGAGGCGTGTAAGATCAAAATTGTACAGCAATGTTACTGCGGGGTCCTTGCCTGTTTTTGAGCACCTCATGGATGCCATCGCTTCACAATGCAGGGAGGCGCGACAAAGTTGACATCATCTCAATCTTGGCTTGAACTCAGACTTTTCGAGGTTTTCTCGTAATTTCTCGTCCAGTAATGATTGATTACGGGAGGCAACTCGCAGTTAGAAGGAGCAATGTCTGTGCTACACCACTGCAAGGGGAGAGCCATCCAGCTCTATTGCATGAGGAACGGCTAGAACTTTTTTGGAAGTGCGCTGCACTATCAGAAGCATTTGGAGGGGTCGGTGGCGATGGTAGCGGATAACATTCTTGTCCATATTGCAGAAGAAGAAGAAGAAGCAGGAATCAAGCGAGTGGTACTAATAGAAAGACCACTCTTTGTTGTATAAGTGCTCACATTACCGTTCACCTCTTCTTCATGTAATGGACAAGTATTTTTAGTTCGAAAAAGTGACAGAACTTTCCCGCCAACCTAATACATAAGAACAGTTTCTCCTCACGAATGAGTCTTCGCTGGATTTTTTCGGGCAGAAAGTATGAACACTCGTTGTGCGAAGAGAAGTGGCAACAATCGGCTTTTGTTTGTATCTTCCGAGTATTTAACAGAGAACTCTTTTGAGATATTGTGGTGAGACCCCACGATCATCATTAAACCTTTTTTCAGACATTCGCAATATCGATGTTGCTCCGATTCTCTCATCATCAAATTTTCCTATTCATAGTCGATTTATTGCACATGTTTGAGCTCAATCAGCCTCTTGTTTTTCCAGCTGCACCTTTGCTTACCGTCATTTTGGCCTTAGTCGGTATGTTTCTAGCTATTTCCATCACAGTTTTCATTTCGTATGGGGCAGCACTTTTCTCTTCGGCTCGTGCTTTTTACCGGATTACTGTAGTTTGAGGTTCAATGAGGTGAAAAGGTGTCATTAAAGGCAGAAGGCACGATAAATCCCTAAGACATAGAATCATTACGCCTAGCAGGCCTGGCAGACGCTGCGTGGCGCCTTTCCCAAAAAATGTACCCTTATAGCGCCCTATGCAATGTACCGACCCGGACACCCACATCGCTCGCCCGCCACAAATGTGCGACCGATGCTGAGGTTCGTCTCGCTTCACTTGCGAAGCCCAATATCAAGCGAAGAAAAAGGATATTAAGTGGCTGCATGCTGCTTTTCATATCAATACATGCAGCCGTATCTACTGTAGCGATTACTGGCACGATACCAACGAGATTTCGTCCGAAACTGCTTCTTAGTCGTATCGAACAAAGGCTTTTTTCGCAGTTTTCTGACCGTTTCGCTTCGCTTCTTTACAATTTCCCACTATAGCATCCTGCTGCCATCCTAGAAGTCGTACGAAGTTACCGTACCTTTTGCCTTTCAGAATGAGAACTGTTCACACTCAAGTATTGATTAGTTCATATTTAACTGGTCTAATAAAACCTTCTTCTCAGGTATGGAGGCAATAATGTCAGAAGTATTCGCTGACACTACCACCGCTTTCTATGTGATACTGATTGTTTGGATTGCTGATCAGTACGATGCTATCTGCTGTCACTCGCATGTTAGCAAGCGGTTTTGGTTGAGGTATGTCTTATTTTAGACTGATTTCAGACTCTGCGACAACGCGTGTCGATGCGCTATCGTTGTAGTCGTGCTCCGATGCTAATCAATTCTGACATGTCTTACCTATTTCCGCTTACTATTCATACCTTTTTTGTAAAAGAATTTTTTCCCGTATTTATTTTTTCTCAGAATGTTTCAGTGAGGGGATGGTATTCGTAATTCGATGTTCCATCATTCATGTTGTCCCCACGTCTTGTTCCAGTTTTCGAAGTGTTTTCATCTCCTGTCAAGCTGAGGCTCTCCAGCATCTTTGCTTTGCGGAGAACTGTATAGTTTCTGAGCTTCCTTTTCCTTTTGCTTCTGTTTCTCTTTACTCCATTTCATAGGAGTGAAAGCCGGCCCGAAAAGGAAGGGAGAAGAAGTAAAAATTAGCGAAGATTGGGCTTATATAACACTCGGCGGCTTGCAAAAAAAAATGAAAAAGAGAAACAAATACAACCTTATCCACAAGCTCTCAGCAGAACGAAGATGCTGGAAGCAAGAGCTGAAGTTAGAAGCCAAACTCGACTGGAGCTAGGAACCCTCCCCAAATAAGGAACAAAAAATGGCGCAGTTCGGCGACGAGGAAAAGCATTTTGCTTTTTTTTCTGCTTCCCATTGTCGTGCTAAGTGCTTTACAAGAGTAGGCCTGTAGTTTCTACAGGCCTACTCTTGTAAAGTATCATTTCATGGCTTCACAAGACTTCGAAGGACTGCACATGATGGCTCTACATGTCGCTGGGAAAGAAGCAAAAGTGCAGAATGCCCCATCATTTGTCGCCGAAGTATGCCCAGAAGTGATGTGCGCACAATATGTAAGATGAGACCTCGAAATATCAGTACAACCCCGAGTTGAAAGTCTGGAACCAAAAATAAATATCACGCAAGGAGATGAATAATAAACGAAAATAAGGTGAAGAAAGCACAGAGATGGGTGGCAGTGGGGCGCGGGTGCAGCGCTATTGCGCTCGTTCGTCGTCGCGAAGTCTGAATACAGCCTCATTTCCTGGCTCTTCAAACTATTGATAGAAAACACGTCTAAAGGGAACGATTACTGTTCAGATTCTTCTATCTCTACCAATTTTTCTTTTATGCATATCAATACCGCTTTGGTGGTCAATACGGAGGAATGGCTCTTGTCACTTCAACTGCATTTATATTTGTACGTATTGTTGCATTTATTCAGTGTGTCAGTAATTTACCTATTAACCATAGTTTCTAAGTGATTTGTTGTTTCAGCACTCGATGATATTCTTTTTTCATCACTATGAAATGCCTTTAATATTGTACCAGGATCGTCTCCAACGTATTTTGACAGAAATAGACCCGGCACCGGTAATCGTTCCAACTTTTCGAACCAAAGTTAATAGTTTCTAAAGATTTTTCACTATTATGAGAGTTGCGAGAGACGTTTTCTATATAGGCTATTTGGAATTTCGGCGCAGTTTGGCGACATTTGGGCATTTTGCACATTCCATGCTTCCCATTGTCGTGGTCATGGTTTAGAAAAGTTGACAAGTGGTTTCTACATATTTTGACTGGTTTCACTAATGGCTTTACCGGTTTCAAAGATCTTAACTTGATGCCTCGACTTGGCAGTTGGAAGCAGCGGCAGTGCAAATTGCTTCCCCCCCCCCGTCGCCTAACTGCGCCTGAAATTCTGATTTTGCGCTGTAGTTTTGGGAAAAATGGGAAGTCAAGTCAAATGTCGACTCATCTGGTTCTAGTTTACAAAGCTATTAGTAGAGGTGTTGCTGTAAACTGAAGGCGTAAAATAGCAGTCAAAAGCAACATTTGTTTCCGAAGACCGTGCGGTTCGCGGATTTTTTTTTCATTATAATTTCGGTTTTTACCTACTACATTCCTCACAGTTTTCCAATTTTGAAGTTTTAGATATTATTTAAGTTGCCAAAACGAACTGCTGTGTTCCTAGTCATTCAGGAAAGGGTTTGATCATTGGACACCAAGTAATCTGACATGTGTCATCTATACTCGGTGGTGTTCGCGACGATAAGATAGTGGTCAACGTTCCGAGGGACTATAGATTACACACACTGGCATCTATTCACTAGAGTAAACTGATCCTCTACTCGGGCCGACTTCACAGCCGATTCATCAACTTTCATGAGAAAATTAAAGAAGGATAAAGGATAAAGTCTTCGCCGTTGATCAATCCCTTTGTGGGATGCGGCACGCATTCTACTTCCATTCAGAATCGTAGTGGCTTATTGAATCCTCCCAGACGAATCTGGTACCAATTTACCGTCCCCGGAGGGTAGAAGGCTTGGTTGGCCTGGGCGGGAGTCGACCCGGGATTCGAACCCGGGACCGCGCGAGTGGTGAGCGCGCCACTTGTCACTACACCACCTCCGCCTTTGAATCTTTATGAGAGAAGATTAGCAAACGGATTCCCGGAAGAGCACAGTACACGAATGGTGAGCGTCCGACTGAAAAATCGTTGTTCAGTTCGTAGAACAAAAGTAGAATTCATTGAAGGGCACCTTCTCTGGACATCGAATGGCTGGGGCAACGTCTTCTACACCGACGGGAGCAGACTTTCCTCCCACTCTTGCTTTTCGAGTCCCAAGAATACCTTCCGAGTTATGTTGTATGCTAAACGTTTTTCCAGCAGTCAGAACATTCTATCGCTGGTGTAGTACGAAGAGTCAATGCTGCTTTGGTTTTTTCGTTCTAAGAGCTAAACAGCGACTTTCTTATAGAGCGCTTACCATTTTATCCCTGCATACCCGGTGATCTTTATACTGTCTGCTTATCAATATTTAGTTAGTCGCTGCTATTGACCGCGCAGTAGACGCAAGTAAAGTTAAATCCGACCTACCATGGGCCTAAGAAAAGTTCAACCTAGTGAACAGATACCAAACATAATCTGTCGGTCTTCAAAACGTTGACCACGGCATTAATGGCGCCACTTTGACCGATAATCAATGACCCTGTGCTTTCCGAAATTTTTTCTTACTTTCTGAAGGGTGTGTACCTCGTGCAGACATTTTTCTTTGTTTGTAGTGTATATTGCGCATGGCAGCTCTTTTAGTGTACAAAGTCTTAGTCTACTTCTAAATCTCTGGAACAGGCAGATTCGTTTTGACGCCCAAACCATGTCTAAAGGCGCGTCTCCGTTCATTTGATGTTCAGACGCCTTCTTCGGGCAGGCAGTCCTATCTGCGAGCTTTAAGGAGGAACTGCTTTCGCTGCTCAAAAATACGTGAAGAAAGAGGGGCTTGCGACGAGCGCACGGTTCCGCCCAGTTGCCACGGCGAGGCCTAAGTTGGATTTCTACACTTCCTGCTGGTGGGGTTGTTCCGCTACTTTCTCTCCATTTCGATTGCTGAGAGTGGGGTTCAGTATTGGGCATTCATCGCTGTGTTAGCCAGCACTATGTCACTAGTATTTGTGCCGCACTATCCACTTTCGAACGCGAGGCGTGCCTTCATTTCTCTTGATACTTCGAAAAATGTGAGCAGTGAGATGGCCTTGTAGCTCTCAAGTTATTCAGAGACAAATGTTGCGATTTACTGGCAACACTGGTATAACGCACCAAGATCCGAAATGAGATGGCTAGTTTGAAAAAGTGATGCCCATATTTATCTTCGGCGAATACTCTCGTCCTTTAGTGTAGATTAGAGTTCATTCCATTGTAGTTTCAGCCAGCAAGTCCACTAGATGTCCAACAAGTGACTGTCTCGGTCCACACACGTGCTATCGTGAGAGATGGGTCAGCACAGCGTACTAATGCAACATCAGCATCTGGTGAAGCGCAAATAACCGTTCAGCAGGTATATTTAACAGTTCGTGTGATACAGAGGCGACTCGCTTTAATGTCTTATATCACAATTCCGCCTCTTTTTTCATCGATTGACATTACTGTCATCCAATAGGGTAGAGGAACGAAACGAAAATCCCCAGCCAGGAGCAGCTCGGCATGGGGGGGGGCAGTTTGCAAATTTGCTACTTGCCGTCGACGTGTCGATCTCTTTAGAGTGCCCTTTCTTGAGTGACAGGTTTTACCATGGTAGCTTGACGAGCTTGCTCCAGCTTCACAAGAGTTCACAGGTTTCACCAGAGTGAGACTTGTAAACCGGAACTAGTGAAGCAGCGAAAGTGCAAAATGCCCCC